GTTTTTACAAATGTATGTAGGTGTTCGCGGACTCTATCGCGCTCTCAGCTTTTCGCACTGAGTCGGCGGGGGCTTCTGATTCGATATCTAATTACCTACTAGATTGTTCGAAGGAAAATTAAGACTCGATCTCACTAGAGTTTCCACGTCGACGAATGACTCGAAACTAGCCCGATTTCTGGTCGCGTTTGGGCCCTTTATATAGTCAGATTTTCTCTGGAAAAATGGTAGTGGGGGTGTTCCTATGTGGTCCGATTCCAGAAACGTTCGTCGTCGTACCCCTTTGGAGGTACTCGACTCGCGATATACAAATGAACCCCCGGCTGGCTGGCGCCAGCCTGGCGTACGCCTTCAGAAAGGAATATAAAAAATTCGTGGGAAGATTCTCCGTACGTTACAGTTTATACAATGGGAAAGATATGTTCCTATCACTATTTTGATTCGCTTTGCAACCTTCGAACAACACACACCCACCATTATTTTCAAGAATTTTCAATATTTCGTTTATACAACACGTTCATTAATAGTGGATACGAGTGGATAGCATCTAAGGCTTGTACTTGAAGTGTGATTGACCTGACGCAATGTCAGCCATTTTGAATCCGGTCATCTTTCTACTCCGCGCCACACGTCACAGTGGCGCTATCTTCCGTGAGTCACCTTCGCTTCACTCAACTCTTAGCTTTCCCGTGCACGGACTATACACATGCCGTATCTAGTAGTATTATGATTTAAGCAGTGACTCGTGTACATGGGGGATTTGTGTGCTTAATTAATTTCTGTAAAATAATACGGCGCCAGCGCAACTGGAAAGACCCGAGATTATGTTAGTAAACTTAGGAAATAATTCCCACGACACGTATTTACGTACAATAAATATAAGCACACACCTGTGTCTCGCACTATATGTTAGTAACTCAAACACTGTCTGTACATACTATCGGGATCAATTTTCGAACTTCACAGACATAATTCTGAAACTACCGCACTTTCGTTAGTCGTCGTATTGATTTAACTTCAATTTGACACTCGTATCTCACAGGTTAATAGTTATTAATGCAAGTGCTCCATGAATAGAGTAGAGCAGGGGTGTCAAACTCGCGGCCCGAGGTGGAACATTTTTGATGTCAAGTATCAGGACGTAAACAATAATTTAACTTTATATATATGTTTATTACAATGTACTAGTCAAAATAAAGATATTTCTTTCTATGAACATTGATTTTTTTTTGCGGCCCACCTAAAGTTAACCCTTTGCACTCGAATTGCGACTCTGAGGCGCCACTAAAAATTTGTATACTATTTTTCAAAATCATTCTAAGAGCATCAGACTCTTTTATACTTGAAAAAAATACTATTAAAATTGCATTGTACTTGCCAATAGGCTCAATTTTATAGGCATGAATCGCAATAAATTATATAAAATAGAAATACCGTAGATCAGAAATCATGTTTTGGATTTCGAATTCAAATAGCTTCGACTGCAAAGGGTTAAGCATTGTTTATTTGGCCCAAGTTAGCTTTTGAGTTTGACACCCCTGGAGTAGAGGATCCTCCGGTTACTGTGGGGCGACGAATTGCTATGCTTTTGCTTTGTTTTCGGACATAATTGAGTTTATATTTATCGAATAAGATGTACTTTCTATTCTTTTATATTGTTTATTTTCGAACATTACGCAGAATATTGCTACAGACTGAGGCACACAATTGCGTATTCGAATAAATAAAAGCTTACGGCATTCGTATAGTTAGAGAGTTACCTCATAGGCGTTCGTCGGACTGTTTATACAGGGTGTCCCAGGTTTTAATGTACAAACTTTGTCAGTATATTCTGTGGCACAAAGTAAGAAGAAAATGTTATGTGAACATAGGTCATATAGAGCTTTATTAAGAAGTTATAACAAAAATTCAGAATAGGAATAATAATCAACTAAAAAAGAAAATAAAAAATAAAAAAAAATCTTCGATCGATGTCAACCATATATTGTCAACAACGGTTATTAATACATTTCGAAATGTATTAACAAACACAGCTTACATAAACACACGGCATGTGCTGATCTATTCAAGCCAATGCTCGCAGTAACAGCAAGTTGATTACTATTCCTATTCTGAATTTTTATTATATCTTCTTAATAAAGCTCTATATGACCTATATTTACATAACATTTTTTTCTTACCTTGTGCCATAGAATATACCGACAAAGTTTGAACATTAAAACCTGGGACACCCTGTATTCTGTTGTGGTCCTGGTTTTCACTGGCCCTCGTCCCGTAGCAGTAAACAAATCAAAATCACTGGCTCTTTTTCACTCGGCCGTATCGATCAGCGGATCCGGGATCGAGAGATTAACTACAGAGCAAGGGGACACGAGCCACGGGGTAAAGAGCAGGTGGTGCCATAAACATAAATCATCATAACATGCGGCAGATAGGGCGGCAACCAGCGGGGTGGGGATGGTGGGCGTTATCAATGCTAAACATGCGCATAAAAACTGTCCCGCATGATATGATGCGTGATTCATAGGACAATTAATTCCCGACGATAGAACAGGCACCAGAAGCCTTGCTTCCATGTTCGGCGACATTGTTTCCATGGTTCGTTAAATTCTCTGTTTAGCAATGGCGACGCCCGGAGATTATAATATACAAATAACAAGTATAATATATATATATATATAACTCGATATTACAACTAGACTAACAATTGCAATCTAATAATTTCCTCTACATAACCTGTTATATATATATATATAACAGATTATGTAGATTGCAATTGTTAGTCTAGTTGTAATATCGAGTTTCGTGTTCATCAACAATCAGCCCGAAACTTCCATGAAGCGACCCGATATTTTCGTGAAATCTTATAATTATTCCATAGCACTGAGAAGGTAGTGCACGACCAGTATTTTAA